TTCTCCATACCCCGAGGTTCCATGCGGGATTTTTTTCCTTTTTCTTTTTCTTTTTCTTTTTTTTTTTCAAATCATTTATTTTGAAAGCTTTCGCCGTGGTTGGAAATGTTAGCGCGCAGTTTTGACATTTATATGATTAACATGGTGGAGAGAGAGAGAGAGAGAGAAAGAGAGAGAAAGAGAGAGAGAGAGAGAGAGAGAGAGAGAGAGAGAAGAGAGAGAGAGAGAGAGAGAGAGAGAGAGAGAGAGAGAGAGAGAGAGAGAGAGAGAGAGAGAGAGAGAAAACAGAGAGAGAAAGAGAGAGAGAGAGAGAAGAGAAGAAGAGAAAGAGAAAGAGAGAGAGAGAAAGAGGAGAGAGAGAGGAGAGAGAGAGAGAGAGAGAGAGAAAGAGAAGAGAAAGAGAAAGAGAAGAGGAAGAGAGAGAGAGAAGAGAGAGAGAGAGAGAGAGAGAGAGAGAGCCGTGTGTGAGGAGAGATATGAGAGAGAAGTTTGGTGTGACTATGCGTGTACGTAACAATATGCGTGAGTTTCTGTGCGTGTGTGTGAGTTCTCTGCGCTTACATATGTATGTGCGTTTCTCTGAGTATATGTACGTTTCCGTGTGTGTATGGGCGTATGCGTGATTCTACGGCTTTCTCTAATTATGGGATGTATGGGCGGCTTTCGATTCGATTGTGAATTTGGTGGTTATTTCTTTTATTGTGATATCATTATTATTATTATCACAGTCATCATTATCACCATTATTATTATTATTATTATTATTATTATTATTATTATTATTATTTTATATTATTATTATTATTATTATTATTATTATTATCATCATCATCATTATTCTTGTCGCTATTATCGTTATTGTTTTTCTTATTATGAGGATTATTGTTATTACTATTTTTATTATCATCATTATTAATATTATTATCATTTTTATCATTATAATTGTTATTACGATTATTATCATTATCGTTACTATCATCATCATCATCATTATCATTCATATCATCCTCATAGATATCATTGTTATTGTTATTATCATAGAAATCCTCATGAAAAAAAAATCATTTTTAATCATTATCATCATTATCGTCACTATCACCGCCACAATGATGATCAACATAATTATCATTACGATGAAATATTTACGAGACATAGATAGGAAAATAGCCGTTAATCATTTAAAGAAAAAGGGTTAATTTGTCGTAAACTACATTTTCGTTGTGTATCGGTATTGTGTTGATGTATAAACAACAGCAACAACAACAAAAAAATATTATCGTATTTGTTTTCATGCTGTTACGTTCACTGCAACTAGCGCGCACTTTTAAGGCTTCGGAAACGTAAAACTGAAGCTGTTTCTCTATCTCTCTTTTTTATTCGTTTTTATTCACCTTTCTTGTGTGTTGTTTGTTTGTTTTTATTTTTTTATTTTTTTCTGTTTTTTTTTTTTCGTTTTCTCTCACTTTCGGTGTCTCTTTTCGCTCGCTTTCGTTTCTCTTTCTCACGCTCTTTTCTCGGTCTTTCTCTGTATTTTATCATTCTTTTCTCTCTTTCTCTCTCTCTCTCTCTCTCTCTCTCTCTCTCTCTCTCTCTCTCTCTCTCTCTCTCTCTCTCTCTCTCTCTCTTCTCTCTCTCTCTCTCTCTCTCTCTCTCTCTCTCTCTCTCTCTCTCTCTCTCTCTCTCTCTCTCTCTCTCTCTTCTCTCTCTCTCTCTCTCTCTCTCTCCTCTCTCCCTCTTTCTCTCAACCCCGCTTTCTCTCCCTTTCTTTTCCCCCCTCTTTCTCTCGGTCTCTTTTGTTTGGTGCAAAAAATCACTTGTCCCTTTGTGTAATATTTTCTTCTCTGTTTTTCTTCTTCCTTTTTCTCTTTATTAACGTATCTCACCTCGTTTCTCCTCCATCTTCCGCATTTTCTCCCTCTCTATCGCTGTTTCATCGTCCTCTTCATCGCCATCATCCTCACCATTCTCATTATTATTATCATCATCATCATCACCATCGTCACCATCATCATCATCACCTCCATCATCACCACCACCACCATCCTCCTTCTCATCATCATCACTATCACCACCACCACAATCACCATCATCACTATCCTCCTCCTTCTCCTTCTCCTCCTCCTCACCATCACCATCACCACCTCCATCCTCCTTCTCCTCCTCCTCACCATCACCAACACCACCATCCTCCCCACCATCACCATCACCACCATCCTCCTCCTCCCCACCATCACCACCACCACCCTCACCACCACAGCCAACCACTCCTAACCCCCTGCATTTCTCCCCAACAGACTAGGCCTGATGAGCCAGATGACTGCGCTGGCGGCCCGACACCCCCTGCTCTCCCTGTACCCCGACCTGGCCAACGTGCCCCCTACCTCACACATGTCACCTCTGGCGGGGATGGGCGTGCCGCTGCCCACAAAGACCCCTTGGTACCCGCCGTGGGCACTGTCGCCCCTCGCCGCCCTCGCCTCCGTCAGGGAAAAGGAAGCAGGTATGTTGGTTATGTTGCTTTTCCTTATTTTTTTTATTTTATTGTTTCTTGCGTATAGGGTTAAGGGGGGGGGGGGTAGAAGGGTGTGTGTGTGTGTGTGTGTGTGTGTGTGTGTGTGTGTGTGTGTGTGTGTGTGTGTGTGTGTGTGTGTGTGTGTGTGTGTGTGTGTGTGTGTGTGATATGCGTGTGTGTGTGTGTGCGTAAATGTTACTACTGCTGATATCCCAAGAGATAATAATTCCTAATAAAGATGTAGTCTAATAAAAATGATATGAAACTGATCATTATTAGGTCGAAAGATAATAACAGCCGTAATTATATTAACTATAATAGTTGAAATGATAGATGTGATAATAACTCGAAAATAATTATAACTGAGAGTAACATCTTCAACAAAGATAATGATGATAATTATGATAAAGACAAGAATTATGATTATAATGATTACAAAAATATTGATTATAGCCATAATAGCAGCAATGATAATAATAACATTAATATTGATAGCAATGATAATAATGACAATGGTAATGATGGCAATAATTATAATGATAACAATAGTACTATTACTACTACCATTACTACTATTATATTATTATTATTATTATTATTATTATTATTATTATCATCATCATCAGTGCTAATGATGATAATGATAATGATAATCATAGTTATCATAATAACGATGATAATGATAATGACCATATTAACAACAATTATAATAATACTAATAGTAATAATGATAATGATAATGATAATTTATGATAACAAAAACAACAATGATTATAATTACAATAACGCTAATAATAATACTAACAATGATAATGATAATAATGATATTGATAATGGTGATAATGATAATGACAATAATAGTAGAATTGATAATAATAATGTTAATGATGATAATGATAACAATAATAGTAATTATAGTGATAATAATGATAATACCAGTAATGATAACAACAATGATAATGATGATGATAATAATAAAAATAAAGATAATGACGATAATGGTAAGGATAATAACAATGGCGAAAAATAATAATAGCGATAATGATAATGGTAATTCAATTATAATAACATATTGATGGTTAATGATTATTGATAATGAGTGAATACTGATAATAGTAATAATGATGATGATGATGATATTGATAATAATGGTGAGATAACAACAATAATGATATTAATAATGATAATGATAATAGCAATTATAATAATAATGATAATGATAATAGCAATTATAATAATAATGATGATAATAGTACGATGATAATAGTAATGATTATAGTAATAATGATAATAATAATAATAATGATAAACTAATGATGATAATAATAATAAATATAATTAATAATTAATAAGTAATAATAATAATTATAATAATAATAATAATAATAATATAATAATAATAATAATATAATAATAATATAATATAATAATAATAATAATAATAATGATAATAATAATGATAATAATAACAATAATAATAATAATAATAATAATAATGATAATGATAATGATAATGATAATGATAATGATAATGATAATAATAATAATAATAATAATATTAAAAATAGTAACGATAATAATAATAATGATAACGATCATAACGACGATAATGATTAAGAAGTAACGATAATAATAATAAATGATATAATTATCAAACAAAACTTTAAAAAATTGTATGACATTGTCCGAATCAAATTAATGGTGATGGTTTTGGGAATGTGTACAATTCATTAAAAGACAGATAGATCAAGAGATAGATAAAGACTGAGCAAGATAAAGGAATGTGTGTGTGTGTGTGTGCGCGTGTATGTATCTATGTGTGTGTATGTATCTATGTGTGTGTGTGTGTATGTATCTATGTGTGTGTGTGTGTGTGTGTATGTGTGTGAGTGTGCGTGCGTGTGAGTATGTGCGTATAAGAGTGATCAGCAAAGGCCCAATATTTTATGCGCTGTCCACGCTCCTGATCCCGCGGTCCCGATCGCTTTCTTTCGTCAGTTTGAAAACGACCTGAAAAGGGAATCCATTTTTAACGATTTTTTCTCTCCTTTTTTTCCTTTCTTTCTTGTTTATGGAGTAATGCTCGGATTGAACGTGGTGCTCTCTGGGCGTCTTTCTCTGTCTCTGTCTGTCTGTCTCTCTCTCTCTCTCTCTCTCTCTCTCTCTCTCTCTCTATCTATCTATCTCTCACCCTCTCTCTCTCTATCTATCTATCTCTTACCCCCTCTCTCTTTCTCTATCCATCTATCTCTCACTCTCTCTCTCTCCCTCTTTCACTTTCCCTCATTCTCTCCTTCACTTCCAATCTCTGTTTCTCTTTCTCTCTCTTTCCCTCTTTCTTTCACTTCACGCTAAGGAGCAATTGAGCGAAAACCCGAGGTGTGCAAGACCGCAGAAGCATCGCGAAATGCAACGTCCGTCAGCTGCAGGAATTAGCAATAAGAATCGTAAAAAATCGTTATGAGTTAATAAATCGCCAAGATAAATGCATACTATTATTGTTATTATAACCCTTTGATGTAATTACCAATCAAATAATGATGATAGTAATAATAATAACAAAAATATCTGACAAAAAAACTATATATATATATTTTTTTCTATTTCGAAGTTTGTAATTTTTTTCTTTTTAGAAATAACTGAATCATAAAGCAGTGAAATGACAGGTAATGACGATAATGCATTAAATAAAGTTTCATCGCTCGGTAATGTGAAATATTTATTTTACGTCAAAACAATTATTTGATTGAAATTGAATTTGCAAACAATAATCTTATATAGAGTTGATATCGCATAAATGAACATATAGACAATGCCAAAGACATATTCAAACAGACGAGTGTATAAAGAAACACAAAATATACATAAGTGTATCTGCATCGACGTATGTATACGCAGATAAATAAATAAAAAACAAATACGCATATAAATATAAATACACATCCATACCTCCCTGAATAAGTATACTTTATACATCGGAAATGTATATCACATACCCCTTTACCTGTACAACTCTCACCTTGGTTATTCAAGAACCCGAATTGCAGTTCTGTTTTTTTTTTTTTTCAATTTTGGCTTCACTACACTTAACGCACGGCGAGGCAGAAGGAACGAGAGAGAGAGAAAAAGAGATAGACGTTTTTATCCCGACAGGAAAATAGCAACTGTTCAGTCCTGTGCCATTTAATATCGCTCTCCCTCGCCTCGCTTATCCACTCCCATTCCATCACAGGGAACGTGTTCAGGGGCCTCCTCTTCCTCTTATTATTAGTCTCCTCTTCCTCGTTATTTTCCTCTTCTTCTTCCTCTTCCTTCTCTTATTATTCTCATTTTTCTCTTACTCTTCTTGCGATTTTCCTCCTCTTCTTCCTCTTCCTTCTCTTATTATTCTCATTTTTCTCTTACTCTTGCTATTTTCCTCCTCTTCTTCCTCTTTCTTTTCTTATTATTTTCATTTCTCTCATACTCCTCTTGCTATTTTCCTCTTCTTCCTCTTCATTCTCTTATTATTCTCATCTTACTTCTCTTGCTATTTTCCTCCTCTTCTTCGTCTTCCTTATCTTATTATTCTCCTCTTCCTCTTCGCTTAGTGCTCCGACTCTTCCTTTTCTTTTCATCCTCCACTTACTCTTTTTCTTCTTACTTCTCTTCTTCTCCTCTCTCCTCTTATTCCTCTTCTTGTTCTATTCGCCTTTTCTTCTCTTCCTCCTCCTTTTACTCCCTTTCTTCAGGCACTCCATTTTCCATTTTCTTCGAGCTGCTTTTCTCTTTCATGTCTCTTTTATTCTCTCTTTTCTTTCATTCTTTCTTCGCCAGTAGCCATTGCTGTTCTCTTCTTCCTCTTTTCCCTATCCTCCTCTTCCTCTTTCTCCTCCCCCCCTCCTCCCACTCCCCTCTCCTCTTCCTCCCCCTCCTCCTCCCACTCCCCTTCCTCCTCCTCCCCTCCTCCTCTTCTTCCTCCTCCTCCTCTTCCTCTTCCCCGCATGTAAGCGTCATCTTCCCTCTTGTTAGGTTTTCGCCCTCGACCTCCCTCCTCCTGTTTGACTTCAATCAAGGAAATCGCTGACTTCAAAGCGCCACACAAACGGCACGCTCATACATCAAGAAATCAGTTTTGTCTGATTTTAATGCACCTTCAAACGGGGTGGAGGGAGTGGGGGGAGGGAGGGAGGAGGGAGAAGAAGGGGGAAGGGGAGGGAGGAGAGAAAAAGGGAGGAGGGAGGGAAGGGAGAAAAAGGAGAGGGAGGGAGGTGGTGAAAGGGTTGGAGGGGGGATGGATAGGGGAAAGGGTTGGCGGGAGGGAGGGATGGATATAGTCTGAGGGGGTAGAAGAGATGGGAAGAGGGAGGTTTCGGGGGGATGAGAGAGAAGGGAGGGAGGGAGGAAGGAGAGAGGGAGAGACAAGGAGGGAGGAGGAGTGGAGAGGGGAAAGGAGGGAGGGAGGAGAGGGGAGGGGGATTCTCCGAGCCGTTTCATTGAGATTGGATGGCCAAAATAAAACTCTCCGCTTCGCTATTTTCCCTGACACTTTTCATTCGGTGAGTCGGCCAACTTTTGATGTGTCAATTTAGAAATGGTCCTAGACTGCAGTGATGGCAATTTCCGCAAGATCGCTGGCCATCTATTTTGACTTTTTTTCTCTTTCTCTCTTTCTTTCTCTTTCTGTCTTTCTTTTCTCTCTCTTTCCCTCTCTCTCTCTCTTTCTTTCTTTCTCTTTCTTTCTTTCTTTCTCTCTCTTTCTTTCTTTCTTTCTGTTCCTGTTTTCTTTTTCTCTCATTCTCTTTTTGATTGATGTCTCTCACACTCTTTTTTGTCTGTCTTTCTGTCTGTCTGTCTCTCTCTCTCTCTCTCTCTCTCTCTCTCTCTCTCTCTCTCTCTCTCTCTCTCTCTCTCTCTCTCTCTCTCTCTCTCTCTCTCTCTCTCTCTCTCTCTCTCTCTACCCCCCTATCTCTCTCTCTTTCTCTCTGTCTGGCTTTATCCATTATGAT